CGCCCTCATCCTGTAATTGAATAAAACGGCTTTCTTCTCTTCAGTTTAGGATGCACTTAAAACACAGGACTCAGACACAAAAAGGTTAGATTTCTTGCCCAAGGCTGTAATCCCACCACTGGGATGAGACACAGGGCAGGGGGTCTGGAAATGATGGCGATGGGACTCTGGCTGATTGCAAAACCTGCTCAGTTGCCCCCTGTCCAGTTGAATAGAATGGATGGGCTCCCAATTCTAGAGGGAGTGGAGTAGGCCATCTGGGATTGACACTTCAGCAGACCCTCTCTGAGACAGGAGCAGCCATTTTAGGTTGTGGGCTGACAAGTTGCCTTGAGATGGAAGCAACCTCTGAAGAGTTCTTATATGTCCAGAAATAAAACAAATGACCACAGTAATCAGTGCATCACTGCGGAAGAGAAATTCCTCCAGACCATTGCGGCAGCTCTGTCCCTCATGCAAACATGGCTGCAGGAGGGGGTATTAAGTTCAGGGAGGCAATGATGGCCGATTTCCCTGCCCCCACCCAGCTCAGCTCCCATGAGGCCTCTTCAGTTCATTAGGTTTTGGTCACATCTGGTAGGAGTTGCCTGCTTGGAAAATCCCAGACAGATTTTAATAAGCGCTAACGTTGGGATTTTAAATTGGCCTAATTGGCTTTCTGGCTGCTGCCAGGCAATTAACCATTACCACTCCCCCACTCCCTCTCCGATCTGACCTCAATGAAAACAACCAGAGGCTGAGTCACAGCAGCAGCTCAGCAGGCTAGCTGAGTGCAGGGGTGTGCAGGATCACCGCTCCTTGCTCCTACCTCCGTATCCCGACAAAAAGGTAGCCTAAATAGTCAGAGTGCTAGTTTTTGCTGCACAGGATTTATTTGGGATGCAGGACAATCGAGGGGATGTTTGCCAACAAAAGCACACTGCTTCCCGTAAACCCCTGTGGCTGATTTATTAGGCTGGATTGCAAACAGGTTTCCAAGTCTATGGGAAGGAAGGGAAGCTGAATTTTTCTCTCTTTTCACAAAAGGCAAGCTATTGTTTTCATCGCTCTCAGTCTTGGTCCAAAAGCTCCACCTCGCTGACTATAGGCAGCTGTTTTCTGTAGCTTGCCCCTTTTCCACGACATCAGTAAACTTTAAATGTCATCTTCTATGACAACCCCAGACGTCAAGCCTTCACTGAGCTGGGGAGACGGCTCAGAGACTTTTTCCCCAGGTTTCACAAAACCTCCAGCTGAGCTATTGACAATGGCAAGGGAGCAAACTGTGGATTTACCAGCATTTATCCAATCCCCTACAGAGCTTGGATTTTTGTCCACCTTTGGGATTTGGGTTCGAATCCAGATTAAACTGATAGGATATGATGGTTTTACGATGCTTGGGGCCAGGGGCAGAACAACATAGTCTTTTCTTCGGTCCTGGTTGACATTAAAAAATCAAGAGAGAACCTTGTTCCAGGGTAGGGATCCATTCAGGGTGGAATGATCCAGCCCTGCATCTCATCCCAGTGGTAGGATCAGAGCCTTGGGATAAAAGTTTAACCTTTTCATGCCCAAGCCCTGGGTTTTAAAGTGCCTCTCAAACTGAAGGGAAGGAAGCCTTTTTGTCTGATAGCTACGAATGCTTAAAGGTGAAATGAGTTTGGTCCAGTCTTAACGCAGTTGTTGGAGTGGGTGGGCCAGCTCTATAAAACGATATGCATCTGGCACAAATGTACAATCTGATTTATTCATAGTTAGGGTGAGTTTTTTTGCAGTTACACTGAGATTAAGGACCATTCGGGATACCCAATACATTCTGGTCTTTATGCTCCATATCAGCATTACCCCCGATTCTGACTCTATCTCATCATGTCATTTTATTCCTTCCTCCTACATGTGAGTATCTCCCATCCCACAACTACATCAATACTATTCACCTCAACTGCCCTTGGTAGCACATTCCACATTCTCACCACTCTCTGACAAAAGAAAATTTCTCCTGCGTTCCTAAATGGATTTATGAGTGACTCCCTTATATTTATGATGTATAACTTTACATTTTTTTGTGAGTGGAATGGTATTCTCCATGCCTCCCCTGTCAAACCCCTTCATAATTTGACACCCACTGCTAAATCCACACTCCATCCGCCTCAATTTTGTCTTCTCTGGTGTAAAAAGCCTCAGCCTGGTCTATCGTTCTCAATAGCTATCGCTTGGGTGGCAATATGTCATTGAACTGAGGTACAGACAGCTTTACTTTTCCCTGCTAAATTATTCTACACCAGCCCCAAGACTGTTAACCGAATTGGTGTAAAGTGAACGTCATTCTGGATTAGAGTTCACAATGCTGATCATTGACACTGGGTTCACAAAAAAAATCACAAAAAAAAAATCCTGGTTTGCAAAGACGAAGAGGAGAAAAATGGTATAAAATCAACCGGCTTTTTCTTTAATGACAACATGCATTGAAATAGTGCCTTAAGCACAGACAAACCAAGGTGTTTCACTTGAGGTACAGTTACACAAAACCAAAGCTGAAGAAGTGGTTTATCAAAAACCTAATCAGGGATGGGTTTGATTGAGAAGAGATGGAAAGGCTAAGAAGGAGGCAAGTAAAGAGCTTGGGGGAAATGGCTGAAGGCGTAGCCAGCACTGGTGGGACAAAAGGAACCAGGAGATAGACAGACAGTCAGAATCAGAAGACTCAGAGAGTTCGGGAAGCTCTGGGGGTAGAGCTGGTGTCAGAGATAAGGAAAGGCAAGGCCATGGAGGGATTTAAACGTCAGTTTAGGAATTTCAGGTTTGAGGCAGTCAATGTATGTTAGGAAGAAGAAGGATGATAGGTGAACAAGTCTGGATGTGAAGGAGGATACACAAGCAGAGTTTTGGATGAGCTGGTCAATGGAGGCTGCAGAAGAGGGGCCTGACTTGGAGATTACCGCAACATTTGAGACTGATGATGGCAAAGGATAGATGAGATGTGCAAAGGAAAATGGCTTGGCCCTGTGGCAGAGATGGACATGTGATAGAGTGACGAAGAGGCCAGTTTGAGGATGAATTTGCTAACGGTTTTGCGAAATTTCTGGTTCAAGATGCGGAGACTGAGATTCATAGCAACAGAGTTTCTGTTCAAGACAGGTGAGGTGAGAGTGACTATGCTCAACATTAGGGCTGTATTCGACTGAGCATGGCATTAAGGAGCCCTAGCAAAACAAGAAACAATGGGTATCAGGGGGCAAACTCTCTGGTGGTTGGAGTCATACCTGGCACATAGGAAGATGGTTGTGATTGTTGGAGGTCAATCATCTCAGCTCCAGGAGATCTCTGCAGGAGTTCCTCAGGGTAGGGTCCTAGGCTCAACCACCTTCAGCTGCTTCATCAATGACCTTCCCTCCATCACAAGGTCAGAAGTGGGGATGTTCGCTGGAAATTTCACAATATCCAGTACTATTCCCAAATTCTCAGGCACTAAAGAAGTTGGCAATCATACAGATCAAGACCTGGACAGCATCCAGGGTTTGGGCTGATAAGTGAAAACAACATTCATACTATCACATGTACCAGGCAACGACTATCTCAAACAAGAGAGAATCTAACAATTCCCCATGACATTCAATCGAATTACTTTCCCTGAATCTCCCACATTCAACATCCTAGGATTACCAGAAACTGAACTGGACTGGCTATATAAGTACAATGGCTACAAGAGCAGGTCAGATAAATGGAATCCTGGAGGAAGTTACTCACCACGTGACTGCCCAGTCTTCAACTATCTTCGAGGCACAAGTCAGGAGTATGATGGAAAACTCTCCACTTGCCTGGATGAGTGCAGTTCCAACAACACTCAAGAAGCTTGGCTCTATCCAAGACAAAGCATCTCACTTAATTGACACCATAGCCACTGGCTTCAACAATAACTTCTTTGAGCACCTATGCACCATCCATAATAGGTGCTTCATCAACTCACCAAGACTCCTTGTTCTACACTTCCGAAAACACAACTTCTACCATCCAGAAGGACAAAGGCAGCAGATGCATGAAAAAACCACACCTGCAAGTTCCCCTCCAAGACTAGATCCTGGACCAAGAACCAGGTGGCTTCATCTCAGAATAAAGGACTGGTTGTTTAGGACTGAGATGAGGAGTGATTCCTTCACTTAAATGGTTCTAAACCTTGGGAATTCTCTCCCCCAGAGACTTGTGGCTATTCAGTCATAGCTGAGATTGATGGATTTTTGGACACTTAAGGAATTAAGGGATATAGGACAGACCTGGAAGGTGGAGTTGATGTGAAGTAACAGCCATAATTCTGTAGAAAGAGGAGTAGTCTCCATTGGTCGCATGGTTGACTCTAGTTCTTATGTTCTTATGTCAGCGGGGAAAGAACGTTAGAGTTCCTCTGTTACACCATGTAACAATTTCCTCACCAGTTGTCCCTAGATTCAAGGCCAATGACTGCTCAGGATCATGAGATTCTGCCACAGGCCAAATCTTGACCCGCATATTCCAGTGACTCTTTTGCTTTGTTGCCAAAACAAAACTCATATCTGTCCACAGTTGATCAGCTAATCATTCGCCTCCGTATATATACCGTAACCTACAGGATTACAATTCAAAAGCTGAGATGGAGGACTTGGCTGAGTGGCTCTTTCTGGCCAGTGCAGGCACAAGGGACCAAATGACCTCCTTTTGTCCTGCATATTCTGAAAATGGATGACATTAAATGTACGGTTTGTGTTGGACATTTAATGCGAACCCCATTTGTGTATGGGGTCCATGTACGAAGTGTTACCCACAGATGTTGAACATTTCTCAAGCATCTGCTCCTTCCCATGGACATGCATATAGAATTTATTTTTGAATTCACTGAACATTTCACCGATATGGTACCAGCAAGCGCTATCTTCCTTCAAACTAGGCCCATGCATAAGCCAGCAAAGGCACGGAAGCACTACAACACATGGAGAACACAGCACATGTAGTAATGATGGAAGCAGTCGCGGAATTCATGGGGCACTTACTCCGGACATGATTTTCTGCGCAGTGAAGCATATCTGCTGCATGAATAAACTGGTATCCAGTTCCTCGAGCTCGGAGCTCAGCTTCCGTGTATCCCAGAACAATCTTCCCCCTGGCACAGAGAGGAAATGGTTAACCAGAGCAGACGGCAAACCTGGGAACCATCACAATTACGAACAACAACTCTGTCCCCTTTGAGAATACGGGGTTGTGGACCACTCTCCCACTGGCGGGACAATCTCCGACAAAACCTGACTCAAAGGGAGGCGATGGCCTAGTGGTATTATTGCTGGGCTGTTAATCCAGAAACCCAGATAACATTTTGGGGACCCGGGTTCAAATCCCACCACGACAGATGGCGGAATTTGCATTCAATAAATATCTGGAATTAAGAGTCTAATGATGACCATGAACCCATTGTCAATTGTCAGGAAAAAGCCATCTGGTCCCTAATGTCCTTCAGGGAAGGAAACTTCCATCCTTATCTGGTCTGGCCTACATGTGACTCCAGACCCACAGCAATGTGGTTGACTCTTAACTGCCCTCTGGGCAATGAGGGATGGGCAATAAATGCTGCCTGGCCAGCAACGCCCTCATCCCGTGAATCAATAAAGAGAGAAAAAAAAATCTGCAATCTGAGTTGAGGGGTGTAGGGATTCAAACAAAAAAATAAGATGAGTCACAAACTGTTCTCAAAAAAACATCAGGTCCCCTGAATGAAATATTTGGTTTTGAGTTTTCGGGTGGAGCAGTGATTGCAAGGTACTGCAAAGCTGGTGAGCTCAGTTGGCTGAAGAGCTGGTTTGCAACATAGACTCATGTCAGTAGTGTGGGCTCGATTCCTGCACAGCCTACCATGAAGGACCCTTAAGCTGGGGAGGTAACGGTCAAGCGGTATTATTGCTGGACTGTTAATGCAGAGACCAAGGTTCAAATCCCTCCATGGTAGATGATGGAGTTTTATTCCGAGGGGACAAAACAAATCTGGAATTACAGTCTAATGATGACCGTGAATCCATTGTTGATTGTCAGGAAAAACCCCATCTGATTCACTAATGTCTTTAGGGAAGGAAACTGTCATCCTTACCTAGTCTGGCCTGCATTTGAATCCAGACCCATTGAAATGTGTTTGCCTCTACCTGCCCTCTTGGCAATTCGGGATGGGCAATGCATGCTGGCACAGCTAATGATGCCCTGGTCCCATAAACGAATTTGAAAAAAAAACTTTCCTTCCCAACCTCGTCCCTCACCCGAAGTGTAGTGAGTCTCGGGTTGACAGCAGCCCTACAGTCCTTCGTAGACAATGGTGACTTCAGACTCACTGCAAAATGATCTGAGCATCCATGGTCTTGGCAAAGAGAAAATCATCTAGAGCTCAAGACTGTTTTGCTTGTGAGCCTGATCACCAAACACGCCCCCACCCCCCCACCCCCTCCAACCCCCAAACTTCCCCTGGCAATGTGCCTCAGGCACAACTAAAATCTGTTTGCCAGTCACCGCTGAAGCTCAAACACAAAGAGAGCTGATGGAGCTGTTACCTAAGGTTCAGTCATTTTGAGAAATGTGGAGGAACTCTGACTTAAAGAAAAGGCAATGATAAATGGGTCTCCCATTGGGAACGCTGCTGTCAGCATCAATTGAACAGAACTGGTCGGTTTGTCCAGATTGGACAATACAAAGTATTTCACTAACGATTCACTAATTATTTTAAAAAAAGATCTTTCCCTATTACAATCTATAACCGTGATCTTGATAATGGCTTCCAGTGACGTCTTGCTCCCTTTCATAACACAGGATGTAGATCATTGATCAGTAAAAGCGGCTGCACATTAACACAAGTGCCTAACAAGGATGATGCGGGGCTGTATCAAAACATTTCTGATTAATCAAGCTGCAATATAGGATATAGACTGGACGGAAAATAACCTAGCCTATGAATTGTTTGTATATAAATTACTGTAAAAGCAAACCAATTTTCTGTTACCTGTCAATAATAACACCAATTATTAATCTTCGCACATGAAACAGCTATTGCCTGAACTTAAATGGAAACGCCATGAGCACACTGAAGTGAGTGACCAGAGGCTGGAATCATAGCCTGGAGTTCATGTGACTGTGAATGACACTTGGCACATTTCCACCAAGTCAGCTACTCTCCTTAAAGCCATCAATTCGATTCCAGTCAGTAACTGGAGGGCCACATGATTTTCTTTGTAAATTCTCATGTAAATTTGGTATCATTTGGGGTGGAAGCAGGGGATTGTTTGGTTTAAGACTCTTCGATGTTGACTGTGTGCTCTCCAATGTCCTCAATATTTTCAGGTTCTTTGGCAGAGGCCCGGGTATAAAGGGGTGAGGAAGCAGGTAGTCCATTGTGTCGATGAACGAAGGCAGATCTATCAGCATACCCCATGTCTATCAGCACTTTAATTTTCATGACAGTAACCATAGGGTTTTAACTGAATCACATAACCTCATCCTGATCCCAATTCTATGCCCCAGTCAATGGCAGTTCTTCAAGATGACGGAGTGAGACTGTAGAATTACAGTTCCATGTCCCTAATGCAGACTGCATTAGAGTCTATTCAAGTCACAATGAAATTAGCACATCACCATAAATCTCAACTGGCTGATAAACACCAATCTTTACACACTGTGGGCTTATATGTGACTCAAGACATATAATTGACTCTTAACTGCCCTCTGACGTAGTCTAGTGAACCAATCAGTGACACCACCACCAGATATCAAGGAGTGGGCTTAAACGCTAAGTTAACCAGAATCCTTTTGTGCATCACTTTCAAATCATTGCCATCTCATTCTTGTTTCTTTTAGAAGCAGAAACTCCTTCACTCTATCTACTTGTCCAACCTACTCATGATTTTGATCATTTCATCAGATCTCCTCTCAGCCACCTCCTTTGCAGGGAGAACAGTCCTAACTTCTTCGATCTATCCTCAGTTGAAGTTTGGCATACCTAGAACCGTTCTAGGAAATCACTTCTGCACTCTCTACAATGTATTTGTATCTTTCCTCTAATTTGGCACCCACAACTGTACACAATACTCCAGCTGAGGTCTATCAAGTGTCTTGTACAAATTCAACATCACCTCCGAGCTCATGCACTCCATGACCCAGCTGACAACACTGTGCTTTATTTACTGCTTTGTCTGTCTCACATACAATGACCTGTGCACATAAATACCGAGGTCCCTCTGCTCCTGCATCTCTTTTCGGACTGTACCCCCTATTTTATATTGTATTGCAGTGCTCCTCCAACCAAAGTGCATCATGTCATACTTCTCTACTTTGAACCTCATCTGCCATCTATCTGCCCACACCAACTCATCAATGTCCTTTTTAAGTTTCGCACTGTTCTCTCACAGTTTCGAATTCTTCCAAGTTCAGTGCCGTTTGCAAACGTGGAAATTGCTCCCTGCACACCAACACCAACCCCTGGGGAACTCCACCACTAAGCTTCTTCTAGTCCAAAAAATACCTATTGGCCATTACTCTCTGTTTCCAATCACTGAGCCAATTTTGCATTCACTTTACTACTGACCCTTTGGTAGCAGGAACCTTGTAAGGGGGGTGGTTAGCTCAGTTAGTTGGACAACTGGTTTGCAATGTAGAGTGATCACAACAGTGTTGGATCAATTTTCACACCAGCTGAAGTTACTATGAAGGAGGGTCCTCAGGTTAAACTGCCACCAGTCATCACTCTCATGAGAGAGCAGCCCTATGGTCTGGTAAAACAATGGTGGCTTTACCATGACCTACAACTTTCCTCACAAGTCTGTTGCGAGGCACTGTATCACATGGCCTTCTGGAAATCTACGTATACTACGTCATAAGCATTATTCTCATTCACCCTTTCCATTACCCCTTCAAAAAACATCCTTGAAACTGTGAAAAATAAGAACTGTATCCACTGACACAGATTTACGCGCAAATGGCACAATGGAAATTCTGGACATTTTCATCAACGGTATACCATCCACAAACTATTTTTGACAATACAAGTCAAGCTCCCAAAGTCTAAAGATGGCTCTTTCGACTTTGTTCACCGTTCCTTACTTGGCGTCGCACGCAAGTGGTGTGAAGTCTAGTTTGTGCTTGGTCCTGAAGATCATATTCCTGGTCCGAATCTCCAAGATGGACGGAGACTGGAGAGGGGTTGCCACGGCGAACAGAGCCAGCTGAGAGGGGATGGGAGTACCGTCCTCTGCTTTCTTATTCTGTCCATGTAGGAACTTCAGCTTCCCCTGAAAGTTCAGAGCCTGGTAGAAAAAAATAAGAACATCCACCAGAAAGAAGAAACCTTCAGATTAAACTGCAAAGAATGAAATTGCTGAACATTTGGACAGATTCTGAATCTGGGGCCTTCTGAGTCCAGTGGAGGAGAGGGTGTTTTGCTTATCAACTATTTTTAAACAAATGGAGAAAACACAATCTTCAAAAGCGAGTGCACATTCCCCAGTAGGAGGAATGAAAAGAAAAAGAGGAAAATCAAAGCAAAAGGCTTCACATTCTTCTGGTTTCTGACCACCTTTGGGTACAGGAGAACATAAGAAACAGGAGGTGACCATTCAGCCCCTTGAGTCCATCCTGCCATTTAATAAGATTACGGCTGATCTGACGGTGGCTTCAAAGCCACCTTCCTCCACATTTCCCACAACACGCAATTCCCTTCTTTTTCAAAAATCCATCTATGGCAGCCTTAATAATATTCATGGTGGCACGGTGGCTCAGTGATTAGCACTGCTGCCTCACAGTGCCAGGGACCCGGGTTCGATTCCACCCTCGGGTGACTGTCTGTGTGGAGTTTGCACATTCTCCCTGTGTCTGCGTGGGTTTCCTCCGGGTGCTCCGGTTTCCTCCCACAGTCCAAAGACGTGCAGGCTAGGTGGATTGGCCACGCTAAATTGGCCGTAGTGTTCAGGGATGTATGGATTAGGTGGGTTATAGGGAAAGGGGGTAGGGCATTGGGCAGGGTGGGATGCTCTTCAGAGGGTCAGTGTGGACTTATTGGGCTAAAGGCCCTGTTTCCACGCTGTAGGGGTTCTGTGATTCTATTCTATGATTCAGTCTACACTGCCATCGAAAATTTGAAAGGCTTTGTTGCTCTGAAGGAAGAATTTCCCACTCATCACTGTCTCAACTACGCAACTGTTTATTCTGAAACAGTTCCTCCAGGGTTCCCTGTAAGAGGGGAAACATTCTCTCAGCATCTCGCTGTTAAGCCCCTTCAGACTCTTATGTGATTCAGTAAGAGCACCTCTCTAAACCCCAGTGAATATGGAATCCAACTGCTCTGACAATTGAAACTCTTCCAACCAGGAAGTTACCTAGTAAACCTCTGTAAGCTGCCTCCAATGTATTTCCTTCCTTACAGTAGGAGACTAAAATTGCTACAATACTTGAGGTGCAATCTCGGCAATGCTTTGCAATAGCGGCTTCCATATTTTACACTCGACCCTCCTTGCATTAAAAGGGTAATTTTCCATTTGCCTTCCTAATTACTGGCTGCACCTGCATGCTAATCTTTTGTGTTACATGCATAAGGACACCCAGATCCCTCTGTATCGCAGCATTCTGCAGTCTCGCTCCTTTTAATTAATATACTGATTTTTCAAATCATCTTATCCACATTTCACAGTTTTCCTCATTGTATTCCAGCTGTCAAGTGTTTGCACACTCCTTAAACCAATCTATGTCCCTTTGCAGACTTTTCATGACTTCCTTATAACTTATTCTTGCACTTATCTTGGTATCCTCAGCAAATTTGACTACAGTGTACCCACCTCTTCATCCGAGCCATTGATGTAGATTGCAAGTAGGTAAGGGCCCAACATTGATCCCTCTAAATCCTAACTAACCACAGTTTGGCAACCTGGAAATGGTCAATTATCCTGACTCTCCCAGACAAACAGAAAGTGCTCCAGATGCTGGATATCTGAAACATTTGGTGTCTTCTCTTTCATGTACTTTGACAATAGGAGGTAGCACATCAATGTGACAGGCATTTCGGAACAGAAGTGGACATAGATAGTTAGCAATCTGTTACCACTGAAATAGCCATTTATAGTAGGTTACTCGGGCAGAAACCTGCTGAAATCAACACAGGAAACATACCGTTTCAATACCATTGATTAGCAAAGAGAAAGACAGGTACCACAACTATTTAAATTAAAGCCCACTTTTCTTGATGATGGCCAACAGACTTGGGGCTCTCTAACAATCTCTAAGCTCCAGAGACAATGATCTCACTGGCTCATCCACTGCAAGTCGCCTCAGGAATAAACACAGTGTTATGTGACCTGAGTGGCATTACAGAGAGTTCGAATGCCTTTAGGCAGGGGAAATGTCATTGCAAATCCATCAGCAAAGGTCAACAATGATTAACTACAGTAATTGCAAAACCCTCACTGTAACTCTCAGATGGAACATAAGAATGCAAGAAATGGGAGCTGCGGGAAGCCATTCTGCATCTTCATCGCCATTCAACAAAATTGTGGCCGATCTTCTACCTCAACTCTACCTTCCCACTCTTTCCCCATAATCCCTGCATTCCCTTAGAATCCAAAAATAAATCAATGGCTATCTTGAATATAGCCAATGACTGAGCATTCACTGATCTCCAGGATTGAGAATTCCATATATTCACAAGGTTCTGAATGATGAACTTTCTCATCTTCTCAGTCCTAACTGGATGACACCCCTAACAACTCTGCCAATGAAGGGATAATGTTCTTGCCACCGTTTGTTCGTCTATGAACAATATACCTCAAACGTTAACAGATGGATTTCAACAAAAACAGACATAGATAGGGTTTGGCCAAAGAAAAATGCTTTCACAGCTATCTAAATGTGAGCAAAGCTTTCCTACCAGGT